GCGTTGCGAGCCACGTCCTGTAAAGTTTCGAGTCACGCACAAGGCGAGTCACGTGGACTCTAATCAGGAAGGCGAGACGGACCAACGGCACTCACTTTGGTCGTCAGGGACTTCATTTCCCGCTGCCAAGTCAACTTCTGTCCACCTCGAGCCTTGGGTCACCCTACACATGGCAGGCTAAACAAGGCCCTCCTCGGTAAGTGGTGAGCAGGCATACGTAGCACGTGCCCGAGCCAACGCAACTTATTCAGTGCTATCCGTTGTTCTAGGGAGCTAGCATGATTATCACCACCTAGTACGCGCTTACGCATACCATTGTTGCGGACACGCTGGTGCCATCCGACACCAGCAATGCTTCGCAAACAACGATGATCAAAGACTTGAAGGGGCCTCAGATCTTCCGACCGAAGGGGCCAAGTCTCACTACCATAGAGCAGAATGGCCCTCACTGTGACCTTGTATACACGGCATTTCAGATGGAGGAAACCTCCCTTCTGTCACCAAAGATGCCGCAGGTTCAAGAAGCCAGATCTGGTTTTTGCGATATGTGAGCTGACGTCAGTTTCTATGCGCCCATCGTTGCTCATGCAGCTGCCAAGATAAGTGAATTGATCAACCACCTCAAGTTCCTCGTTAGCAAGGGTCAATGGGTCATAAAGTGGCTGGTGATCCCGCAGCAACACTTTGTATTTTGAAGGTGCGAAGTGCATACCAAATAATGGGACCACTCTAGATAGGCTATTCAGGGTTGATTGTGCTGCCGCATCATCGCAGAAAAGCAAGACGATAACATCTACATAATAAAAAGAAACTAATGTTTCACCAGGTAGCACTTCAACGCCTACACCGTGAGATTCCGCAACGGAACACTCCATGAGAGAATTCACGACGAAATTGAACAAAAATGAAGAAATCGGATAACCCTAATGAAAGCCACTTGTGGTCGGACAGCTATCCTATAGGCCACCATCGACCTCGACGCGCCCTGTAGTGTTCGAGTATAGAGCACGAAGGATGTTCACATATTTCGTGGGAACACCTTTCCGCACAAGTATTTCGAACCGAATCGATCGATCGACTGAATCGAACGCAATGTTGAAATCGAGGAACACAGCTATTGTCGGTCTGCGGTATGCGTGGCGCTGCTCTAGCACCTGCCGCAAAGTGAATATATGGTCTATACAGACACGTCCTAGGCGGAAACCTGCCTGCTCTTTCCTAATCCGAGATTCTCGTTCCGCAGTGAGGCGACGAACGATAATCGAGGCCAGTAATTTTGTCACAACTGGCGTTAGGCTAATACCCCTGTGGTTAAAACAGTCTGTGCGACTGCCCCACTTGTATATTGCCACTATAATCGATTCACTCGAATCAGCCGGGACGCTTGCATTCAGATACGTTCGAATAGGGAGGTCAATGCTTTGCAGAGGACATCACCTCCATCCCTAAATAGTGCAGGTGGGAAGGAATCCCGGCTAGAGGCACAAAAACGAGTGTATCAGTGCAAGCGCGCTGTCTCTGATTGTCTCACTGACGCCTGGTTTCCTAGGACCAGTGATGCGGATCAGCTGAAAGAGATTGTGGTAACTGCCTACTGCTCCTGCCTCCCCCATTTCTTGAGCCCGACTGGTCCACTAGGCTTCCTTGTCAGCACGTAGGCCCCGCATTAGTTCGCGACTAATAGCCCGTCTGGTCACATTGTGCTCAGAGCCAGCAGGAAGGTTTCTTCTAAATACCAACAGGTTCATCGACCTCTCGGATATCCAGTGACTGGTGCGGTGACGAATGATAGTGCCACAAGCAGATGCTCCTGCGTCGTGCATGGCGGCCGAGATCCTATTCCACTGAAGCTCAGTGTCATTAGAACAATACAGTTCGGTACGTAGTGCGTCTTGATAGGCTTGCCTGACTGAGGGCTGGGACAATTTCTCAGTTGCCAATCGTAGGGGACGCTTGGTGCGCCTCCAAGTAAAGTTCATGGAGAAATGACAGCGTACCAAGGCATGATCCGAATTGACGCAGGTACTCCAGTACAAGCGGCAACTCAGTATGGAAGCACCTGTAACTTATGTCTACGTGGTCAGTTTAGGTCCATCGCTGGCTAGCTACAGGAAAACGCCAAGTAGCACTTCGGCGCCCACTGTGTCTAAAAACAGTGATAATAAAAAACAACTGATGCTCCGCACACAGTTGCAGCAGACGCTCACCGATGTCAGTGCGTTCGGAGTTAAGTCCATAATTACCACCCAGCTGAGCTTCTGAAGAGCTCAGACGCCCTACCTGTGCGTTCATATATCCCGCAAGTATTAGAATATCTGAACTAATAGTACTGCGTAGTAGCGTGTTCAGTTCGTGATAGAATGTGTCCTTGACAACGTATGAACTGCAGTCGGTGGGAGCATAAACGGAAAACACAAACAGCGTTTTGTACTACTTCGTGAATCATCAGCATCATCAGCATCGTCAACAGCAGTACATCAGCCATTTGAACTGATGCATCGCTGCCATACAACCATGAGGACCTATGAAATAAAGTATACGAAGAGGGAGAGAAGGGGGACTTACCTGAAAACCTTAATGCCTTAAGCAAACATTCAGGGTCAAGGCGCCTACACCTTGTGTAGACAACATACCGTCACAAACAGCTGGCTATCGTGCAAAGATAAGGCGGCATCGGCGAAACAGCTTCCTTGCGGCTTTCACTGCTCCGCGTCATAATCAGCCATTACCCCGCAGATAACTCAGCACCAAACACACTTTAAACAGACAATCCGATTAGGAGACGGCAGCAGACGCGCCGCTGGTGTCGGTTGCGAGCCATGTCCTGTAAAGTCTCGAGCCAAGCACAAGGTGAGTCACGTGGACTCCAACCAGGAAGGCGAGACGGACCAACGGCACTCACTTTGGTCGTCAGGGACTTCATTTCCCGCTGCCAAGTCAACTTCTGTCCACCTCGAGCCTTGCGCCATTCTACACCTGGTAGACTGAACAAGGCTCTCCTCGGTAAGCGGTGACCAGGCACGCGTAGCACGTGCCCGAGCCAACGCAACTTATTCAGTGCTATCTGTTGTTCTGGGGAGCTAGCATGATCATCACCACCTAGTACTCGCCTACGCACATCATCGTTGCGGACACGCTTGTGCCATCCGACACCAGCAACGCTTCGCAAACAACGATGATCAAAGACTTGAAGGCGCCTCGGATCTTCAGACCGAAGGGGCCAAGTTTCACTACCATAGAGCAGAACGGCCTTCACTGTGGCCTTGTATACACGGCCTTAGCTAATGTCGTCAAACAGGCTGCACATAAACGGCTGTTCACCGGAATCCAATTAACCAACTATGTTTCAGCCTTGGAGCTTAGAATGATATTTACACCAGCTTGACTCGTGAGTGCTGCATCGGCGTCTCCGGATGCCTGCAACCAATAACGAGAGGATACGTGGGGTGCAGTTAATTCAACAACCCCATTAGAGTCACTGATCCTAGTTTCGGATACAACACACGTCAATACCCAGTGTGTCCAAGGTGCGTGCGAGTGCAGCCTGTTAACCTGTTTGTTTTAGAGCGCGAACATTGAATGTCGCCATGGAAAAGGGACAGCGTGGCCTTATAATAGACTGTTGCCGATAGGCGTCCGATAGGTGCTATGAGATGGTGGCTGCAGATGGTCCTACTCCAGTGGCACCTCGGTTGCTGTCAAGTAAGCTGGGAATTATAGGTTGGTAATGGGGGTCGGGATGGGAGTAAGAGAAACAGATGGAAAAGTAAGAAGGGAGGCACCAGCAGTAGCATGTTTTCGTTTATCCGCCCTGTTGTATGCAGCAGATAAGGCGACCTTTGATAATCTGCGCGACGGCCAATGCATGATGAAGTTTATGTATGAAGAAAAAGTCATGGTTGTATGTGGACTGAGATACTTCCAAAGCGCCCAGACATAGACAGGAGGATGATTAGGGTCTTCATAAAAAGCCTTTGGCTCAAAAGCTTTTCCGCAAGACAGTGAGTAGGTGGCAATGATTTAATTTTACAGAAATGGACGCCATCCCATTCCAAACCCCCAACCTGGAGGACCAGGAGACTGAGTTTGTCTGACCTCTCACCATTGATCAATCTGGTAGGAGTACCTCTCAAGATGCCCGGAGGCACCACCCAGTATAGCTCAATGGGTCAAGGAAGTATGCAAACCATGATAAAACGCTAAGGTCCAGTCTCGTTAGGATGGAAGATGATAAGTTTTCAGGAGATGGGAAGTTGCCGCCAAATCTAATGTAGGTATACGATAAATGATTATTCTTTTTATTAAAGAACGATTTTTGACAGTGATACTGATTATCGTGGCTATCGCTTGTGATTGCAGAAATAATAACAATCATAAACACTAAGATTGGAAGGAAGAAAAGAAATAACGACATCGGCAGTACGCCGGTACGCAGTATCAACGCTTCGCTGCAACGCAAGCACCACGGGTCGCGCATAAGCTGAAGATACTGCGAGGGTCACCAGGTCCCTACGCAGGCTCGAACCCGTGCCTTCGGATTACAAGGCAGGCTTGGTATTCTTAAGGCTGGTTTAGTTGTTGATAGACGAAAAGTGGAACCGTTTAAGAGATATTGCATTGATCGGTGAAAATAACTTCATCGAGCGTTGAAGGGAAACGACTGGCTCCCTTAGTGAGCCAAAGAGAAAGACAATGTTGAGGGATTTACACAAACAGCACGAAGCTAGAAATCACGACGTTGATGTTGGAAATTATGTAGGGTGTTTGTTGTTAAATAACGAGAGCGAATATATGCATGATAAGTATACTGCTAGTATATCACTCTATAACGAATAAATGACTACTGTCCAGTTTCAACCCGAGGATCGGAGAGCAGTGTTCAATGGTGTATCTCGATCAATGAGTAGTGACTTCTAGATTCTCTGCTGGACCACCGTTGGTTATTTTTAAGAAATGTAGAAACAAAGAACATTATACAATAAAGATGGCACGTCCCTTACCAAGCCGAAAATGGGGGACGACACGATTATACGCTGAACGTATGCACTCCTGGGCTATGGATTGAGTGCCAATCTCCAAGTCTCGAAGTGCAAAGGACATCCAAAGGTCGACACTGGGATAACCTTTGTGTGCTAACGTTGCATTGTCGAAAACTGAAAAATAAAAGTGGATGAGCGACAAGTAAAAATACTTTTGTCTAGTTGTTCGGAAACGAACTGCAAGTTCGATTCGAGAAAGTCCATGGAAAAATCCTTGAAAGACGCGCTCTCGGAGGAAACAGAAAGCTTTGATAGTGTGTCAGACTTCACATGACTTCCCTCTAAATAGTGGCTCCTAGTATGTGTACAGCAATCCTCAAGCTCCTTCAGAATGAGAAAAGCATCCCCTAAGTCAACATTGAGACCTTTCATGTCAGGACAGTTTTCCTATAAAAATCAGCTGTCAGAAGCCAGTCCGGTAGAAGCTAACCAACGAACATACTGTTGCACGCGTACGGTTCAGGATTACGACTGCTTCCGGTTCCAATGCGTGCATGGGTCGTAACAGACAGGAGAAAGCTGAAAAGCAAAACAGAGATTTCGTAGGCAGTTCGATAGTTTCATCGCCACTATCTAGTAAACAAAAATGTGTGTTAGCTGTACGCCGTAACAGATGCCACGCAATCACCACATCACGCTTGGGCTGAGCATACCGCGAGGACGCTCGCCACTACGCCGATACGAACCGGTGACCTTACGGTCGAGATGAAGGCGTTCAGATGACTCGGCCACCGGCCGCAACTACCTAGCACGACAAAGCTGATGAAGGGTGTGCACATTTACGTTTTGTGGACGCCGTTATCGCAGCTGTCCAATAGACGATAGAGCCCGCAGTGAATGGATGGCGTGAGTACGCACGATAGATGGGTGAAAACACTGATAAGGAAATGAGAAGACGAAGAAAAAAGAGGGAACAATAATGGCCGTCTAGGTTAAGCTTGACGACCTCTTACCCTTTTGTGTGCTATAATGATGGTTTCGGTTCTACTGTGCTATGCGTCCGGTCAAGGATTTCCAGGGTTTCCGTGTCCAATACGTGCGTAGGTCGTAACAGACCTGAGGGACTGCAACACAAAATAAATATCTCGTAGGCTGCTGGATGCTCATGTCATAACCACCCAGTAAGGGACCCCACTAAATGAAACGTGCGACTGGCTAACACCTCGTGGTGAGCCGGATGCCGTTATCAGAGCTGCCGTAGTGATCGACCTTAATCCAAGTGGATGGTGAAAATAAACACGAGTGATGGCTGTGAACGAAACGAAAAGGTAAAAAAAGAGGAAACAACAATGACGCTCTAATTGAGGTTCAACGATCTCCTTACCTCATGGGTCGTTACAAGATAACGCTAGGATCTGCTACGTTATTCCCCCAGTTGAAAGGCGATCCTCAGCGGTTACGGAAGTCCTAGTCGGTCTCTAAGGCGCCCTATCTGCTGCGTCAATCAGGGCGGATAGGAGGTTGGATGCCACTGATAAAGCCTTCCCGTCGTCTCATTCCCCTTTACGCTTTTTAAACTTCATTCTCCCGTTCCTAGTTCACTTTAATCCCCTCATTTTCAACCTCTAATTCTTAACCCACCCCGTCTTGCTTTGAGAGGCGCTTAACTAATCGTTTCAAACCACACACAAACGCGGAGCATCACTTCTGCCCTGCCGACAAGCTTATGTCGAACAAAGCGGACAAACCCAATTCATCGGTATCTATTTGGAGCCCTCGACCCCTCAGATTGGAATGCCTCAACTTAGGAACACTGTTACAGATTGACCAACAGACAGCCCTTGCTCGATATCTAGTGCGTATCGAAAACGCCTAGAAGACTCGAGCTCTGTTCTCTACGATCCCCTTCAGGTGACGCTAGCAGCGCCTTCTCAAGGCATCTATCTGGAAATGATACAGCTATGAGTGACAGTCAAGCCGGTGTTGGTATTGCCCTGAGTCCCCAGGCTGAAGCAGCTTTGGTTGATTAGATCTCAATCAGTAGGCAGTGTGCCGTCCGCCTGGCTGGCTCGATCAAAGCTTCGAAGTCGTGAGGAGCTAATAAGTGTCTGTTACCGTTGTCTACGAGCCAACAAACTGTAGCGATGACTCGTTGAAAGACGACTTCTATCATCAACTGAACAAGATCCTTCGTTACAGAAAATAGCATGGAAACTGTAGTGCTGGCTGGTGATCTGAACGTCAATTGTCTGTTGCATCTGGGCGGCCAATACGGTGTAGACTCCTGTAATGATAACGGTGAGCGGTTGCATCATTTGTGTGAAGATGCTCGCCTGTTTCTCGCGAGAACTAACTTCTGACACAGTACTCGTCGGAGGATGATGTAGGACCCACGAGCCTTAAACCGGCCATGGCCGCAAACCGATCACATCGTGATCAGTGACCGATGAAGACTCTGCGTCTAGAACTGTCGCTCGAGATGGAGCACATGTGTGGGCATTGACCATGCACTTGTATGTACTGATCTGCGGGTGCGTTTCGGCTGACGCCGGCGAGGATATTGTGAACGCATAGACGCCCGCCGGCTGGAGAAACCAGATGGTCTGAATGCGTATCGAGTTATGCCAACATTCGGATTGAGTAAGCGCTTGCTGAATGGTTGGTCACTGATCGCAAGTTTTCCAGACCTAATTAGCCGCAGCCAAATCCTCATATGGAAAATCTAATAACGAACCTGGACGTTGGATCTCTATGCAATCCCTGGAACTAATCGATGCCAGCAGACGTACTAAGGCTGGAAGCGAATACAAGTAGACTCGAGATCTCAGGGCAAATCGCAGTACAAACTTGAAAAGAGATCGAAGCGTGCGTTGGAGATGGAAACAGCCGTCTGATACGGGAAACGGGCAACAGGAGATCTGGTGTTAGTGAAACTATACGTGACGAGTAGATATCCAATCCCTACCTTGTCAAACCACTTGGACCGTTGGGTTGAGCACTTTAAAAGGCGATTTAATCGGCCGAAATCGTCAGATTTTTCGCAGGACAAGGAAAGTCTTACACAATAGGCTGTCTTAATGGATCCGCTGTCTCGCTCTCGCATGATACCAAACTGTTGAAATTGAATAAGGCCGATGGGGACCAAGGGATTTTCCTCCAGCCCTCTTCAAACTCGAGGGATCTGCTCTTGTGGATTATTTACACGAAGTACTGGGAAAATTGTAGGAGCATGAGACTGTCCCAAGTAACATGAGCTGCCCCGTTATTGACCCGATCTTCAAAGGAGGCTCACACTCAGAAAGCGGCACACCTAGAGGAATCGATTTGAGCTCCATCGACTCTGTTACTTGTCTTCGTCCTTCTTCACAGACTGACTGGCACCCGTAAAAGCCAGATTTGTGAGCAGCAAGTCACGTTTCATGGAGGTCGGGAAAGCAGCAACCACATCTTTACGTCAATTCTTGAAGCACCGTCATATATTGGTGGTCCATTGTTGTCGTGTTCCCCGACATCAAAGGTGCCTTCGATTCCGTGAATCTATATGGTCTGGGACTACTAGCTAAGGTGTGCCCGATAAATAAGTAAATCTTCTCCGAAGGCTTCACGCGCGTAACTAGAGCAGAGAGGGCTTACAGGGAGCTGTCGCTGCACTTCAATAGCTCCAGCGGTGTAAAGCAGGGAGGTTCACTGTCACCATTCCTCTTCAACTGCAATTTTGACTAAGTCATGGAAAGCGCGTTTACTGGAAACGACTAAAAGTGTGGAGCTGCTTCCTGGTGAGGGACTTCTTGACTCGGAGCACGCTGACGACATTGCCCTCATCTGAGAAAGCACAAAAAAGTGCCAAACAGCACTGGACATATTAGCACAGGATGTCAACCACTTCGGGACAAACTTTGCACCCTTAGCACTGCTTCGGTGAAAGATGATTTATATCACTAACTTGACGATCACCATCGTTACAGAAAAGGGACGGATAGTGTAGTGCTTGCTAGTGATCTGAACACCCAAGTCGAAATATTTTCCTTTGATGAGCTTCAGCAGGACGGCCAACATGGTGTAGACTCCCGTAATGATAATGGTGAGCGGTTGCTACACCTGTGTGAAAAATGCTCGTTACTTTCTCGCGAGCACAAACTATGACAAAACACTCGCAGAAGTGTGTATGGATGTTCACCAGCCTCGGACCAACCATAAACGCAAGTCGATCACATCGCAATCAGTTACCGCTGGAGTCTGTTATCCATCATTCATTATACGCGTTAGCAGCAGGTGGAAAACACCTCAACTGTTGTGCCGCAATACAAAAGAAAAGAAAAATGAAACAGAGGCACACGGGCTGAGTCACCAGTAACGGATGGACATCGTTCCGGAGAGCCAACAGCCGGCTATAGTGCCGCAAAAAAGGAGTTATATTATGTCTAATAAATGAGATCGAGGTTGGGTGGAGAGGATAAGCGGGAGAGGGAAGGACAAAGAAACTCAACACACAAACGATGTTGAGGTCTGCTCCTAGTCATGTCAAGAAGTGTACCCAGCCAAACGTGTTCATCGTCCTTCGGTCCCAAAAAGGGGGCCGAGAGGCTCCAACTGAGGCCAACTACGACGTAAGAGACTTCATTCATCTTGACCAAGTCATCGCTTGGCCACCCCTCCTCTTCTTCTATCCGTACCGCCGGCGCGCAAACGCACGTCACTAGACAGGATAGGATCAAGGGAGGAAACAAGCTTCCGCTTAACGAGCGTCCCGTTTCGTGTGCCAGTAAGCGAGAAAGAGCCCTCAGCACTGCGACTTGATAGAATATTCTTGAATCTATAATGGCGAAAAAAGAAGCAAGTGCAAGACGAACAACACACTATCATGAAGTAATGAGATTAGGGGCAGTCACTTAAACTCAAGTAAATTCGGGAAACAGGGTCAGCCAATATTTGTCTAGGTTACGTTTGAATTCCTCCACAGTTTCGCAGGCTAACAGAGCAGAGGGAAGTTTATTCCAAACAGTCACAACTCTTAACTCCAGCCTAGATCTATGCTGCTTCCATTTCATGCAAGTCGTCTGACGTAGTTGGTTCAAAGAGATGGGTTGGCCTGAGACCACTGAAACCTTTCATGGTTTTGAACATCTCTATTAAGTCACCTCTCAATCTGCATCTTCTCATTGAGAACAAACCCAAGTTAGCTAGCCGATCTTCAAAAAGTAACCCGCGCTAGCCCACTCTCATTCAGTCCTTGCATAATCTCAATACAAATAAGATCTTTCTGTAGGTAGGGTGCCCATGCCTGAACACAGTAATTTAGATGTGGTCTGACCACATATTTGGATAAGGGTAGAAAGACCTCTGGCTTGGTAGAACTCAGAACTTTCCTGAGATGAAATAACTGTTGTGCTTTATTAGCCGCATGCATGCACTGCACCGAGGGCTTAAAATCACTCGTCACGATGACACCTAGATCACGTGCCTCGGTGACATGCTGCAGTGTTAGGGACCAACTAGATGTATGCACAGTAAACTCCGCATCACGCGGGGCTAGGATTTGACATTTGCTGGTGTTTTGTGGTAAGTCACACAAATATGACC